GGCAGGGGCAACAGATGTAGATCTGGGGAGGAAGGGACCTGAATCTTCCCCAGGGGAAGAATGGGTCTTTTCGACCATGACCCACTTGGTACGTAACACCAACACACAGTAGCTTAGGACCATCACTAATCACCTAATATATGAGAGGGCAACCTCAGCACAATAATGGTATTGGTGTGCAATGTGGGAAAGAGTGGGATATGAGAGCCTGGGCTGGGGAGGCCTGGCCACCCTAGCCCTAGTTCGTGAGCTGACCCACTTACCTCATGTGAGCCTGGTGACCCAGATTGAATGCTCAAGGGCTTTTCGGCCCTGCCATTTGACTTAGACGTGTTGACTTGACCGAAATTCATGTGGGTTTTAATTTGAGAGCTGGTGTTTCCTCCCAAATCACAGAGACTTCAAATTCCCGTCTCCCTCTGTAGCGCCTCACCCTTGCACTGGTCTCATTTTATATATCTGGGCTGAGAAAGGACTGGATTTCACACCTAATTAAAGGAGATTGTATTGCCTGCTGTTTCCTTTCTTGTTCATTTTCCCTTGTGCACAAGCAGCTTTTCATTCTCATGCTAAGTCCTATCCCCCCCAGACGCCCGCAGTTGAGGAGACAGGCAGGAGCTGGGTTCCTGCAAGGCAGAGCCAGGCCCTCCACCGCCTCTTTCGCTGCAAGCCCATTTCTCCTTCGGTACTCACCCTGGGTCCACCCCATCTGCATTGTGCAGGCTCACAGAACAGTCATTCAGGATACATGACCACTCTCGGTGGTAGGATTCCTTGCGTGTTTCCAGTGAATGCCATCTCAGGCTGACTAAGTATTTTCACTCTAGTTGAAAGGAGGTCAGTTATTATTTTTAAACACACAGAACCATTGTCATCACCCTTTTCATTTTACCCCATCAGTTCTATGTTCAACACCACCTTGGGGTATTTTTGGGGTGAGGCGATGTCCTCAAATATACATAATCTTTGTAAAGTTGTATGGTTTTGTGGAGTTGAGAGGGTGGTTGGTGTTTTCTTTCTTTCTTTCTTTCTTTCTTTCTTTCTTCTTCTTCTTCTTCTTCTTCGTCTTCTTCTTCTTCTCTCTCTCTCTCTCTCTCTCTCTCTCACTCTCTCTCCCTCTTTTTTTTGAATAGCCCAAATGCCCATTCAGTGCCAATCTAAGAAAGAATGGAGTCAGCATTTTCACACCATTCCTTCCTATACAGTCCCTGAATAACCATCTAATCAAGATTTGTTTTCAATGGGGAACAAATCTTCTACAGTAGAGTATTTCAGATTTATTCCATTGGAATCTATACATTAATGCCCATTGGATGAAAGGACCTGCTTCACAAAAGCCTGGACATTGCCTTGCTGTGGCAGAAACTTTTTCCCACTGTATTAGTGCTAAATATAAAAGAAAGCCTGGGAAAGAATTGCTTCAGCATTGTGTGCAGGAGGAACCAGGCATGCTTGAATGGAAAGGCAGGGTCCCCCATCGCATCTGTACTCGTATCAGCAAAGCCCATTCAGCCTTTCATAGCTGCTCACTGCCGTGTGGGACCAGTGTACTCGGGGAGATGTTTAAAAATTGTGTCTATAAAAAATCTAACTAGGCTTGTCTCGGGTCAGGTTGTACATGTGTGCAAGTTTGAGTTTTAAAAACCGTCTCTGTGGTTTCTAATGAAGTTGGTGACAGTACTGCAATAATCATAATTGAGACTAGTTAACAACTTTTAGTGATTATCTCTATAGGGTTACCTGATTGTTTAGATAGATTCAACCAAACAAGCACTTTCAATTTTTCTCATGAGATTTTAAGTGTGTGTGTGTGTGTGTGTGTGTGTGTATGAGTATGTGTAGTATGAGGACAGCTTTTGCTGTTGACCATTTCCTACTCTAGAGCAACCTCCATCATCACTTTCAGTGTTTTTATCTTTTCTTCTATGTCCTGAGGATTAGGATGGCCTTAGATCCCTAGGCAATCCGAGTTTCATCCTTCAGTGACCCAGTGTTATGCAGTGAGAAAAGGATCAAGGCGTGTGGGTTCTAATCCCAACCCTGCCTCTTACGAGCTGTGTAAAATTTAGGATAAGTCACCTCAACACTTTGATCGCCTCAACCTTTTTCTTACATCAAATAATAATAATAGGACTTGTCCTAAAAACATATAGGATGGTTTTAAGGAAAGACTAAGATGTTGTATGTGAAAGAGTTTTGTATGCTATGAAATGTTATGTGGATAGTAATGATTATGATACTTGTCATAGAGTTTCTTCCCAGAATTATCAGAAAGAAGACGACTCTTCATCACAAGTGACAAGCCTAGTGATATTGCTGTGACTGGGCTAAGAGCAAATGTATGTTTAAAGAGTGTTTTCACCTGTGTGGAAAAAAGTTACTTAATAAATCCATCCTACTCAGAGATGGTGACTTTATTAGAGACTCAACCAATTTTAGTGCTTACTGTTTTACTTAAATAAAAAAGACTTCAGTGATAGTAAAACTGTATATAGAAAACTCTACATTTTAGCGCCAGGACAAGTTGTTTGATCTCTTGCATTGTTCCATTTATAAACTAAAAAAAAAAAAGTCTTTTAAGTTAGATTTACTGAGACTACATTGATGTCCCAAGGCCTAGAAACATGAACACCATGCTAATTCAAGGTTAGGTGTAGAAGCAGTTGGAGAACATATTGAACAAACTTTTTTACACAGCTTTACAGTGGACCTATGGACACCTAAAGGCCAGACTTCATTTGGGGCAAAACATGCAATGCAATGAAGCAGGTAAGAGTGTGAACTCTAGAGCCAGACCCCCTGGATTCAAATGCCAGCTCTACCACCAATTGCCTCTGTGGCCTTGAATGAGTTTCTTAATTTGTCCAGCCTCAGTTTTCTCATTTGAAAAATGGGGATAATAATAATACTACCTACATGATAAGGGTTGCTGTGATTATTAAATGAAATAATATGTTAATACATGGTAAGTGTTAAATAAAGGAGGGTTTACTCTTGTTGTTCTCATGCTCTATGTGCATGGGGGACTCAGCAAGAACTTAGAATTTGGTCTGCTGATTGATTTCCTGAATACCTTCCTGGGTTATTGGGGCCTTCCTCTGGGGCTGTACTTTGTATTAGCACAGTTACAGAGGATTCACCAACTATGATTCTTTAATCTGGCAATGACAATTTGCTTTTACAACAGTGAAAAAAACAAAACAAAACAAAACAAAACAAAAAACGCCTAGAAACTGTAGCCCAGTGCAATATTTTAGGCACATCACAGACCTAATGGAAGTCAGGACAAGAAGGAATTCTCTTCTGTAAAAATCTTATGCAAATCATATGACTGAAAGTGAGCATAAGAGCCTCTAGGCATGTCTTAAGGTAACTGGATATGTGTGAGGCTGACTAAATGTAAAGATGGGAACAAAGGAAATAAATGAGTATATGAAAGGATGTGGCCGCACCTACTGAGCTCAGACAGCATGCAGAGATTGAGTGCAGCAAGGTAGAGCTGGTGTGGTTCCGACTCTCTTGAACTGGTCCTCTCTCCTAAGGCAGAGGAGAAAGAACCTGAGGAGGTGGGCATTCCTCCCATCCCTCAGATCATTACCTCTGGGGGCTGCTCCTCGCAAGACACAGGGATGCCCGGTCACAGGCCAACAATCAGTGTTTGGGCCACCCTGGTTGTGAAAGGCCCACTTGCGTGGCCTCTCTCAAGGTGACTATTCACCTACAAAGGCAAGAATGGGGAATCTAAGTGAAGAATGGTTCAGAAAGAGGGATTCTTTAGAGCCATTTGAAAAGTGAAGTAGAAAAATAGAAAAGCCCTGAAACTTAGTGGTATAGCCACCCATTTTAATTCTCAGTCTGCGATCCAAATGTAACCATTTTCCCCCGTGTGCAGAGCGCTGGGTGTTAGGGTGGCAATGGGTCAGGCTATGGACAGCCTCCGCATAGCTGACTGTTGCCTTCCCACTGGGAGCCCTTTGATACTTCCCTGGAGCAAGTGCATAGAACACGGTATTGCCTAGGGTGATCACACAGCCCATTCCTGGTTTACTCCTGCTGTCCTCACCTAATTATGAACAGTGCTCCCTTTCACTCACAGAAGTGCCCAGCTGGAACTCTAAATATGATCACCTAGGATACTAAAGTCTCCCAGGTCAGTGCTGCCATGTCCGACCTTTTTAAACACTCCTTCCTTGTTCAGCTTCAGGAAATGCAGAAAATGACCCATGTCACATACCACCACTCTAGAAAGTCCTCAAACAGGTTGTCGGAGATGCCAAGAAGAGTGTGTAGATACAGAAATCAGTGGGTGAGTGCCACTTTAGCTCGCAGGCTGCAGCCTATAGCCTGTCCCTCAAGTGGAAAACATGGTGACAGCTGTTTGGTGGATATCTTAGTGTGGATTGGATTTTCCAAGGGTTTTTGCATACATGATGTGGATTCGGAAATAGACATATAAATTAATAGGAAGGGAGTCAAATTTTTGAACTATGAATATTGTTGCTGTCTATGGATAAAATCAGAAACTGTGGAAACCTGGGGAAAATACAAGCCTTCCCAAAGGACCTCAGCTTAGACCTGCGTAAGGTAGAAGTAGAGTGTTCCATGAGAACCTGTCTTCCATTTGTTTCTCGGGTCTTGTGTGCTGAAGCTGTAGGAAGAGCAGGCAAGTGACCCATCTGTTTATTAGGCTGTCCTACTTCAACTGGCAACCCTGGCTGCAGCTCTAGGGCATTAATAGAGATTCGATACCCAAAATAGCTGGGGTATTGTTGGAGCCAAATTGAAGGCCTTTTTCTCATAGGCGGTCATCCCGGCAGCCCGATCCCTGTGCAAGGCATGTCCGTCTCACCGCAGAGCCCGCTTGTGTGTGCAAGGTCAGGGGTGGGGGTGCTTCCAGGAGCCATGAGCGTAACCCACCTGAGACCTGGGCGTTAGGCATGCAGTCAGCTAGCTCTGACCCACACACCCTGTCTTGTGTCTTCTGTCTTGCCACCGTGCAGGTGACATCAGTTGCAAGGGGATGACCGAGCGCATTCATAGCATCAACCTTCACAACTTCAGCAATTCCGTGCTCGAGACCCTCAACGAGCAGCGCAACCGTGGCCACTTCTGTGACGTGACGGTGCGCATCCACGGGAGCATGCTGCGCGCACACCGCTGCGTGCTGGCAGCCGGCAGCCCCTTCTTCCAGGACAAGCTGCTGCTGGGCTACAGCGACATCGAGATCCCATCCGTGGTGTCAGTGCAGTCGGTGCAAAAGCTCATTGACTTCATGTACAGCGGCGTGCTGCGCGTCTCGCAGTCGGAAGCCCTGCAGATCCTCACGGCCGCCAGCATCCTGCAGATCAAAACCGTCATCGATGAGTGCACGCGCATTGTGTCACAGAATGTGGGTGACGTGTTCCCGGGGATCCAGGACTCGGGCCAGGACACGCCACGGGGCACCCCCGAGTCCGGCACATCGGGCCAGAGCAGCGACACCGAGTCGGGCTACCTGCAGAGCCACCCGCAGCACAGCGTGGACAGGATCTACTCGGCGCTCTATGCGTGCTCCATGCAGAACGGCAGTGGCGAGCGCTCCTTCTACAGCGGTGCGGTGGTCAGCCACCACGAGACGGCCCTGGGCCTGCCCCGCGACCACCACATGGAGGACCCCAGCTGGATCACGCGCATCCACGAGCGCTCGCAGCAGATGGAGCGCTACCTGTCCACCACCCCCGAGACCACACACTGCCGCAAGCAGCCCCGGCCCGTGCGCATCCAGACCCTGGTGGGCAACATCCACATCAAGCAGGAGATGGAGGACGACTACGACTACTATGGGCAGCAAAGGGTGCAGATCCTGGAGCGCAACGAGTCCGAGGAGTGCACGGAAGACACCGACCAGGCGGAGGGCACTGAGAGCGAGCCCAAGGGCGAAAGCTTCGACTCGGGCGTCAGTTCCTCCATAGGCACCGAGCCTGACTCAGTGGAGCAGCAGTTCGGGCCCGGGGCGGCACGGGATGGCCAGGCCGAACCCGCCCAAGCCGAGCAGGCCGCAGAGGCTCCTGCCGAGGGCGGCCCGCAGCCGCACCAGCTCGAGACAGGTGCCTCCTCCCCAGAAAGAAGCAACGAGGTGGAGATGGACAGCACGGTCATCACTGTCAGCAACAGCTCTGACAAGAGCGTCCTGCAGCAGCCTTCGGTCAACACGTCCATTGGGCAGCCTTTGCCAAGTACCCAGCTCTACTTACGCCAGACAGAAACCCTCACCAGCAACCTGAGGATGCCTCTGACCTTGACCAGCAACACACAGGTCATTGGCACAGCCGGCAACACCTACCTGCCGGCCCTCTTCACTACCCAGCCCGCGGGCAGTGGCCCCAAGCCTTTCCTCTTCAGCCTGCCACAGCCCCTGGCAGGCCAGCAGACCCAGTTTGTGACAGTGTCCCAGCCTGGCCTGTCGACCTTTACTGCACAGCTGCCAGCGCCACAGCCCCTGGCCCCATCCGCAGGCCACAGCACAGCCAGTGGGCAGGGCGAAAAAAAGCCTTATGAGTGCACTCTCTGCAACAAGACTTTCACCGCCAAACAGAACTACGTCAAGCACATGTTCGTACACACAGGTGAGTGCAGGCTCCCCCTGGGGGCCTGGAAGCAGGCTGTGGGTGTGAGGGGGCCGTAGGAAGAAGGGAGGGGCAGACAGCAAGGGGAAGGGAAGGTTTGGAGTCATCTTTCAGATTTGCAGGAGACCCCGCTATCAGCCATCTTCTAGAAGCCCCAACAGTACCCCCATTGTAGGAATGAAGCATCCTGCCGCCAAAGCTCAAAATGACAGAAACCCTAGGGAGAAGGGCCCAATGGGGAAAAGTCTGACAAAGAATCTACAGGCACAACATCCTTAAATATGCTGAACTTTGCAATGCATTCTTTTCTAGCTGTTTCGAACTGGAAAAGTCCTTGGAGATTATATACTCCAGTCACTTCATTTTACAGATCAAAGTCATACAGGCAGAACAGGGATGCGAGTTGCAGTGTGTAGTAAATTCTGTATGAACCATCAGCTTGACGAGGCCACAACAAGGCTGATGCAGGCTTATGCTGTATTTGTGGTCCCTGAAATGAAGAAACGTGATAGTTTCACTCTATTTTCAATTGCTTATTCTCTTTTTGACATCTAGAGACCACAGTCTGGTCTGGGCACTACCTTTTCAAAAAACAGTAGACTGATTGGGACATATTCAGAGGAGTATAATCAGGATGCAAAGGAATGCAAAGCCATGGCATATCATGGTTGAAGGTCCTAGGGCTATTCAACCTGCAAAAAAGAAGACTCAGAGTGTCTTATAAGCCACATCCAAGTATTTGAGCTTTGGGGGCAGCATAATATAGTAAGCTGGAGCTCTGGAGCCACATTGCCTAGACTCGCAATTAGACTTAGCCACTACTGATGTCTGTCACCTTTCTGTACTTGTTTCCTTGTCTATATAATGGGGATGGTAATAATATATCTCCCTTAGAGTATCGTCTTCAGGATTAAGTGAATTAATATATGAAACTCTTAAAACAACTCCTGGCACATAATCAGCACTCTATAAATGGTAGCTGACATTAGCACTGTTAGCTTTATTTAAATGGTTGGGAGGAGAGAAACATTAAGCTTGTCTTGGAGCAGGTGGAGCACTACTTGTCCACCACCCTTCAAAAGGTAGAACTGGACCAACGATTGGAAGCTATAAAGGAGACTCTTTCAACTAAATAAAAGAAGCTGCTCTAAGATAGGATAGACAGCCTCCAAAGGGATTGAGTTTCTATAATTAGAGGTGGTCAGAGAGAGAATGATCATTTCATAGGGATGTTGTAGCGGGGCCTCAGTCATTAGGTGACTAGTTGGGTGGGCTGGTGTTTCATCCCTGGATTCTGTGATTCTAGAGCTAAGATCTCCTGACTGCCCAGCTAGTGCGCTTTTCCAGCTCAATTATGGAACATAGAAGTGAGAACTTCATGGATGCTCCTCCATATAAGTGACCACATATGAGATATGATTTCACATAGATTCTCTTGTATCTGAAAATACTTATCCCAGTGGTGAGCCCCATATTTGAAATTCCTATCATGAGCCCCTCTTCTGGTGTACCTCTGGTTCCAGAGCACCCCTGTTAAATGACAAATAAGTTGCCAAAAAAAATTACCTACTAGAATTACAATGCGTGAAAACAAATTAGTTCCTCCAAGCAACCTTGTTTCTCAGTTCAGCTAGTTGATTATAGGACATAAGGCAGATAAAAATTTAAGTTGGAAAATAGAATGGAAGGAAAACAACAGACACTGAGACAAGGTACCCAACATGGAAGTGAACAACTAAAACAGAACATTCCTTACGATGCACTTTGCCTTCTTCACAGTCAACTTAAGACAGTAGGTAAATCTGTATGTGCCTTTGTGTGAATCAGTTGTTCTAAAGGAGGATGTTTTCACAACTCCAAAGCAACATAGTAACTCACTACTGAATTCAGGAAGGAAATCAGGTAGTGATAAGTCACTATGTTTATTTAGGGTAAATGTGAATGTACTGATAACCTGAGATCAATCAAGGGCAATTTCCCATGTGGTATGGGCATCATCATCATCATTTGGTAAATTGACCAAATAGTAATATTTTTAGTTATGTGGCATTTTATGGTTTACAGAGCGCTCTCACATCGTTTGTCCTTTCTTCTTCTGAATTATTGTCATACAAACCATCAAATTAAAGATTAGGGAGGAAAAAGAGACCATTTGTGGAAGTGTCTCATTAGCCAAAGTTCACTTTGCTGGTCTTGGATCCATAAACATTTCTATTCTCCCTTTTCCAGACCATGCATCTTATCCAGTAGACCTACATGGGTATAAAACTCACTTTTCTGTAAGATCACATACTGAAATAAGGCTGTAAATTTGCAACACAAAATTTTCAGTGCACTATCAAAAATTGTTTTTTTGCTATATAAACGCATTTATCCAGTGGATTCACTAAAGGATTCTGTGGTTAACCCAAATAACTAGATTTGCCCATGAGAAAACCAGTAATGGGTTTGTACATTTAGACCTCATAGATACAAAAGCTATGAATAAAGTCATTTTCTAAATCTGAGTTATGCTCAAAGTATAGCCTTCAGAATTCTAGTAAACTATGAAGATCCTCAGTAAATCATGAAGGTTTTATATTGGTGTGTATAACATGGCAACATCTGGGAACAATTAATAATACACAGATATCACTTGAGCACCTCATTTAGAAGAAGAGACACTCTTCCCATTCACCCTGAATTATTTGGCAGTGGCAGTTTGGAAGGGCCATCTGTCTATCAAGACTTTTTTGTCTAGCTGAAGGAGTCCATAACCTAACAAAGTTAAAGAACAATTGGTCTAGATTTTTCAAAAGGCAAAACAGCCTGAACATATGGAAGTAATTCAGGACCTGGATTCACTGCGGCCTCCATTTCAAAACAGAGTTCTCTCCAATTTCTTGGGAAAACATAAAAAAAAAAAAAAAAAAAAACAGGGCCTCCCAATTTCATAAGAGCCCAGTGGAAATGATAAAAATCCAGAGCAAAAAGTCTAAGTGTTGGTCTGAAAAGATTCTAGAAAGTATTAGGGACACTTGGAAGGATAGGGATGGTTTCAGTACTCTCACCTATAACCTAATCTAAAAGAATCTTACTAAGAAAGAGTAGCTTGACAGAGCTAAAAGGAAGGAGATTTGGGTTCTCTGCATCACAGCTATTATGCATGCTACCTGGCTTTGCATTTCAGTCACTCCAACATTTAACGTAAATAGTACTTACTATCCACAGCTGCAGGGAATCTATTCTGAGATGTGGACTCCAAATAAAATTCTGTGGAGCTCTGTGTTAATGATCCACATATTCACTGAAAGGAAGTATTTGAAACAAATAAGTAGGCTATTGTATTGACTTTGGAGCTAAGCTCTGCGGTAGAGAACCAGGCAGCCCTGGCTGTAATGCATATTCCATAATGATTATAACACTGAAACTTACAGTGGGGACATAAGTGAAATTTATACTAGAATTCGATTATTTGGGTTCTGTTTTGATTCCTTTAATTGGCTGCATGGACTTAAGCAAGTCACTTAATTGTATAACCCTCAGTTTCTTTGAGTTTATAATGCAAAGAATAATTTTCCTGCCTTTTGAGTAGCTGTAAAGGTCTCATGCATTTAAGAGGTTTTCATAAAAGGTAAAGTACTAGTTAATGTTTAAAAAAACCCATCATCATTATTACCTGAGCCCCCTCCACCCAAGAGACATTGACTTTCTTTGCTCTATCTCACATCTCTGAATAATAAGCTCTTGACAGATTTCCTTCCTCTACGGAATTCAAACGCTATAGCCACGTGATACTTCTTGGGTTTCCCCTGAACTTCCTTCATAACATCAGCATTTTTTTTCACTTCTGAATGATTTTTTTAAGAGTATAAGAAAATCCCTCACCTAACTACTTTCTCTACTCCCCAACAAACCACAGCGGTACTCCATTTCTCCCAGGAGTGTCTCAAGATCACTTTACTACGGCTTCATAAAAGTTGTGAGATACGAAACTAAGAGTTAAGGATGTATTTGAAAACAAGAGAGTCAGAGAAAAACAGATAACACAAACCATCCTGTCATGGAACCAAGCAGGGCTCCTCTATGTCCCCTCCCCTCAAGAGAAAAAACAAAAGTCAAAAGAATGGGAATAGAAGGGAAAGACAGAGGACACAGAAGGACAAGCTTTGGTGTCAATGTGGATACAGAAGGCAAGCAACAGGGAAAATTCAAAGATAACCCTGAAACAGTGGTTTTCACCATGTGATTCCCATTCCAGCAGCATACAGATTCACAGGCCCATCCAGACCTGAATCATCCATCCAACAATCTGTGTTTCAACAAGCTCTGATTCAGTGTAGGTTGGGAATCATTTCCCTAGACGGCTGGGAAAAGGCAAGGATAGCATCAGGTTGTTTGTGTTATGTAACATGGTTCTCTAAAATTCCACTCTTAAGAACCTATGCATTTGGAAAAAGTAAACCAGTTGAAAATAACAGCTTGATCTTATCGTGGATAAGTTATAATATGGCGGCAAACACCTCATTTATGAGAAATGACCTAAGTTTCTCAAACTGCACAAGTGACCACAGCAAATACGTGCCTTCTGGCACTTAGAAGTACTGACTTGTATTATCATTATGCAGTTGTCTCTACACCTTCCCATTATAATGTGAATTCTGTGAGCCAGAAATAACTGATAGGTAGATAGATAGCTGGAGATAAAGATAGTTATATATCTTATATATCAGCATACCCAGCATAATACCTTACATATGATGAACATTCAATAAATATTTGATCAGTGAATGAATCAAATGACCATGATGGCTTTGGAGGATTTATTTACCCCCAGGTATAGGGGATATTTATTACCCTCAGGTAATATATATATTTTATATATATTTATATATATATATATATATATATATATATTATATTTAGGACATATATATAGGACATCCAGTTAAATTTGAATTTTGGATAAACAACTGTATTTCTAAACTAAGTATGTCCCATGCAGTCCCATTCATTGCTTT